GCAAGCCAGGTGTGGTGGTGCATGCCCGTAGTACCGGCTACTTGGAGGTTGAGGTAGAAGGCTTGCTTGAGCCCAGAATGTGAAGACTGTGGTGAGCTATGATTGTGCCACTGTACTCCAGCCGGGACAACAGAGTGAGACCTTGATTCAAGATAATAATGGCCAACAAATGGAGACAAACAATATCTATTAACAAAAGAAAATGTAGTATACAATGGAATACTATTACATACATACAATGAACTATTATTCAGCAATAAAATACCAACTGATACCAACTACAGTGTGGCTGAGCCTTAAACTTATGCTAAGTAAAAGAAGATAGTCACTAACCATATATCAAATGGTTCTACTTATACGAAATGTCTAAAATAGGAAAATCTATATAGACAGACAGTAGACTAGTGATAGTCCAGCATGAGGTGGTAAGGGGGAAATGGGGAGTGCCTGGTAACAGGTACGGGGTGTTTTTCTGGAGTAAGGAAAATCTTTTAAAATTGACTGTGTTGGTGGTTCCACAACTCGCGAACATACCAAAAACCACTGAATTGTATGTTTTAAATAAGTGACTCATAAGGTACGTGAATTATATCTCTTTAAATTGTAGAAGATCCTAATGAAACAAACATATAATAATTTTAACATGTATTGATGGTTATTACCTAGATTTGTTATTTCACTACAGAACTTACAAAACAGTGGTTTTCTATCTTTATCTTTTTTTGAATTTATTAACATCAATTACTTAGCTACTCTAAGACACTATTCATATTAAGACAGCAGGATAAATGCTTTCTTCCTTTAATGTACCGATTTTCAGAATAACAAATCAGTGCCTGAGTAACCTTCAAAGGTAACCAATGAGATTTTTTATCCTTAGATTATCATTTGAATTCATGGATTTCATATATTTAATGTGTTTGATGTGCAGCTATAGTTATTCTTTTTGCTGCTCTAGGTGGTCACTGTGGGCAATGGCAACATCAATAGGGCAGCTCTTGTGTCCTTTGACAGAAACTCTGCACTTGATAGCTTTTCCTTGCTAACTGGCACAAGAAAGCACTCCAGGCTCATCTTGAACAACCCCGGTTCTTTTTAAGAAGAAAAGATGTTTAGGGACCACAATATGGTGCTCATTACTACTAGGTTGCCTTATAAAGGTATATTTGAGACCTTTATAGTTAGTGTTCAAGGTTAGAAAACAGAAAATCTTTAGAAAGAGAAAATATATCAATTCTACTTCTGGCCATTGATAAACCGGACTAGGCTAAGTTTCCTGATATAAACAACAAGAACACTACATGAAGTTCATGAAACAATTATTTTCCGTCAATAAGACAATGGGTACCCTCAAAACTGTGATGCTTAGGAGAAGGGGAATAAACAACATGAGCCCCATAATCACTCTGGCTTTTTGCAGACTACTGTACAGGAGATGCCAAGCAAAGCATGATGATTTCATTAAGCTGAGGAGACAGAAGAATAGTTCAGGAGAATGGAGTTGGATGGAAAACGTGGAACAGAATACCAGAAGAAGGAGCAACACAGAGAAATGAATTCCAGACATTTGCATGGGGTTCCCCTTAACTCTGCTGCTGAATACTAAACCATGCATGTATGGATAAAAGTCCAGAAGATGAGACAAACAAAAACTGAGGCAAAAAAAAGACAAAACAAACATGTTTCAGATCTCACACAGGTATGAAGAAATTAGGGTATGAAGAATAAGCCAGGGGACAGTCCTAGCTCAACACTCAGGATACAGAGAAGAAGGCCAACAATGGCTATACCTTAGTAGTAGTATTAAACAAGGCCTAGAGTAAATTTTTAAGACAGTAACTAAATGGTAGAGCAGGTTCAGTTCCCTTGCCATAAAAAAACTTCCACACCAAGATCCAATGCTACCCCAGGTTAGTGGGAGTGTAAAGTACAAATGATGAAAATGTAAGAAAGACTAAGATATTTTATATTATTGAAGCCTACTCATTTTAAACTAAAAATGTTAATTATGAATCATTTCAAATATACACAAAAACTTAGAAAATAGTGCAACCAAAAATCTATGTACCTATTGTCTATATTTTTAAAATGCTATTTTCAATTATTCTTTATTTTTTTAAAAAAGGAAAAAAAGGTCTAAACTTCACCTGCATGCAGACTACTTATGTACCTAATCCTGACTTGTACCCCACATAAAAGCATTAACTAAACTCCTCTACACCCCAGTCCAACTTCCTACCCTTCTCAGAGCTAATGACTATTCTGAATTGGTGTTTTTAAACTTTAACCTAATGTACATACCCACACACATACACACTCACTCCTAAGAAGTATAGCATTCTTTGAAGTATTTTTAAATGGTAGCATACTATATGTAGACTTCTGTCTGCAATTTGTCCCTTTCATTCAAAATTGTGTTACTAGCTTTTCTTAAGTAAATGTCTTGTTTAAGTTTACATACAAAAAAATGCCTAAATTTTAAATATACTAGGTTGGTGCAAATGTAATTGTGGTTTTTGTATTGTTGATATTTGCTGCTGTTTATGTTATATTTATTTTAGACTGTGGAAATGATGTTAAACAAAAAGCAAATTTGAGTGATTTTCTTATTCAAGTTAAAAATGGGTCATAAAGCAGTGGAGACAACTTGCCACATCAATGCATTTGGCCCAGGAACTGCTAATGAACTTACAGTACAGTGGTGGTTCGAGAAGTTTTGCAAAGGAGACAAGAGCCTTGAAGATGACAAGCATAGTGGTCAGTCATCATTAGTTGACCATGACCAATTGAGAGCAATCATCAAAGCTGATCCTCTTAACAACTACATGAGAAGTTGCCAAGGAACTCAACAACCATTCTACTGTCATTTGGCATTTGAAGCAAATTGGAAAGGTGAAAAAGCCCAAAAAGTGAATGCCTCATTAGCTGACCGAAAATAAAAAAAATTAGCTGACAGAAAAAAAAATCATCGTTTTGAAGTGTCATCTTCTTTTATTCTATGCAACAATGAACCATTTCTCGATCGAATTGCGACATGTGATGAAAAGTGGATTTTATATGACAACCAGTGATGACCAGCTCAGTGGCTGGATCAAGAAGAAGTTCCAAAGCACTTCTCAAAGTCAAACTTGCATCAAAAAAAAGGTCATGGTCACTGTTACTGGTCTGCTGCCAGTCTGATCCACTACAGCTTTCTGAATTCCAGTAAAATCACATCTGAGAAGCATGCTCAGCAAATGGATGAGATACACTGAAAACTGCAACACTTGCATCTGGCATTGAACAACAGAAAGGGCCCAATTCTCCACGACAACACCCGACCACATGTTGTACAACCAATGTTTCAAAAGTTTAACGAATTGGGCTATGAAGTTTTGCCTCATCCGCCATATTCACCTGACCTATATTGCCAACCGACTATCACTTCTTCGAGCATCTTGATAACACTTCCACAACCAGCAGGATGCAGAAAATGCTTTCTAAGAGTTTTCTAAGAGTTTGTCGAATCCTGAAGCAGAGATTTTTATACTACAGGAATAAACAAACTTATATCTCATTTGCAGAAATGTGTTGATTGTAATGGTTCCTATTGATTAATAAAGATGTGTTTGAGCCTAGTTATAATGATTTAAAATTCATGGTCTAGAACCACAATTACTTTTGCATCAACCTAATATAATATAGCTTGATAACCTCACGAAATAAATATATCTTTACTTCCATTCATTTTAACTGTCAGATCTTAAGTTCCATGATGTAAAAGAATTTGTCTTGTTTATCATCATACCCTCAATACCAAGAAAAGTGTCTGGCATACAGTGGTAGTTCAGTTAAATAAATGAATCAACGACTTATTTTGTAGTATTCCATTACATGAAAATGCTGCAAACTTATGCATTCTCCTATTGTCATTCCCCTACTGCTGAACATTTAGGTTGTTTTCAGGTTTCTGGTATTAAAATGATGATGCAATACATATCTTCGTATAGATTTCACTGCATTCATGTATAAAATTTTCCTTAAAGTATAAACCCAGAAACAGAAATTTTGGGGTTAAATAAGGAATACACAGCTTCAACTCTGCCAGAACTCTTCAAAGTGGTGTTTCTATGTGCACTCCCAGTAGCAGTGTGCAAGGGTACCCTTTCTCCATGTGCTTTCCCATATTTAGTATTTTGCATTTTCAATTTTTGCCAAAGAAGTGGGAGTGAAATGTTAACTTATTTAAGTTTACAGAGCTCTGATTATTGAGGCTAAGCATCTTTGTAAATATTTGTTAGCCACTTAAATTTCTTATCTATGGCTTTGTCCAGTTTTCTAATGGGCTGATTTTTCTTACAGATTTGGAGAAGAGTTTTTACATACCCTTTTGGCAGCTGCAAATATGCTGCAATTATCTTCTTTTCTATTTTTTGCCATTTAACTTTTTGCTGTATTATTTCTTCAAGAATTTTATTTTTTAGTTTAATGTGATCAATCATGTTACCTTAATTAACTATGACTTGGAGATCTTAGATTCTTTTCTACCTGATAACATAAAAGATACATTGTTTCTTCTAATATTAAAAGTTTTGCTTTTTCATATATTTGTTGTTAAATCACCCTACAGTTAATTTTTGTGTTTAGTGTAGTTATTCATTCACTTATTTTACCCATATATCCACTCGCTTATTGATAAAAAGAAATAATTGTCCTAGTCCCATTAACCAAAGGATTCCCCACTATTAAATATGCAACTTTTGTCATATACCAAGATTGTCTCTCTAAACATATGTATATGTGAACACATATATTGTATTTGTGTGTGTGTGTGTGTATATATATATATATATATATATATATATATCCATTTTCCATGGCTCTATTTGTACTAAAAACACAACTTTTAATTATTAAAGTTTTAAAATAAATCTTGTTTATTTCTTCTTCTTTAAAATGGTTTGGTTATTCTCAAATATTTATTTATAAAATATTTATTTTTCTTTCTTTTTTTCCTCCCTTGGTCAGTATATTTATTGTCTTTATCTGAAAAAAAATCTTCATAGAAAATTGTTTGGTTCAGCTCTCAGCAGCCCACTCCTGAGCTCTGAGGAAGCTTGCCTTCTTTTGATCTACCTGATCTTTCTTCTGGGCAAGGGGCATTTTGGGACAATTCCACCTCTTCTTTTTCACTTCTTTCTCAGGTTTCTTCTCATACACAGAATTCTCTCATATAGCAGCATGAACTTTCTTATACATCTCCTCCATCACGTCTGGAGTTATGCTGCTCTTTATATACTATAAACATTTTCATCTTCTTCCATTAGTAATGCATATGATCTGCAATGTTCTGACCCATGATGTGCTTCTGCATTAAACTCTCTGCTTTCAGAATCATAACAGGGAATTGTTTGGTACTGTGAGGGACAGGCAGAGCTCCCTTCAGGGCTCCAAAAACTTTATTCCCATTGGTAGTTCTAGCAAGACCTGCATCCAAATAGCAGATGAAAGCACTTGGTCTGGTTACCTCCACTTGGCCCTTCATAGATCTTGTCCATAACAAACCTACTGACAAGCCTGTGGGCCAGCAGTAGGCCAGTACAACATGCTGCCACATAACTTGTCAGGCCAACTCTCACATGATATTTTGGTAGTTTGTGTGCATAAGCTGCACAGACTATCATATCCCCTTATCCACGGGCATAAGCAATCTGACAGATAATATCTGTTTGTTATATGAACTATCATTCTGTATTTCCATGTGTTGCACTTATTTTTATCTGACATTACCAAGCATTTCTGAGCATTGTAATGTTTTACCCACTCACTGTCTTCTAAATTTCACTTGGTATTTCTTAAAGTAGGCTTTATTCTTGACAACTTTAACAAACTCCATCCTGCAGAACAGAGACCCGCGTCCGCAACCCCACACAGACTTGCAGGCCCTGGGGGAGTGGGAGGCCCAAATATTCATTTTTCTAAACTTTTAGAATCATTGTGTAATATTCCATGAAAAAGTCTATTGCAATTTTGAATGAATTTTGTTTATGGTTTAATTTGTGAGAAACTGATATCTTTATAGTATTGAAAATAACCAGTCATAAACTTCATGTATCTCCATGTTTAAATATTCTTTTAGTAGAGTTTTATAATTTTATTCATAAAAGTCTTGTTTATCTTTTAAAAAGATTTAATCCTAGGCACATGAAAGTTCTTGTTGCTATTAAGAATAACATCAGGTTGGATGTGGTGGCTTATGCCTATAGTCTCAGCACTTTGCGAGGCCAAAACAGAAGGATCCCTTGAGCCCAGGAGTTCAAGACAAGCCTGGGCAACATAGCGAGACTTCATTTCTAAAAAAAAAAAATTAGCCAGGTGTGGTAGTGTGTGCCTGTAGTCCTAGCTACTAGGGAGGCTAAGGCAGGAGGATTGCTTGAGGCTAGCCAAGTGGAGACTGCAGAAAGCCATGAGATCCTATCATTGTACTCCAGCCTGGGTAACAGAGCAAGACTCTGTCTACAAAAAAAATAAATTCAAGAAAAAAATTATAAATTCTGAGGTGAATAATGTGCTAAATACTCTGATTTGATTACTACACAATCATTCATGCATTAAACATTATGTTGTATCTCATAAATACAATTATTACATGTTAATTAAAAATAAAACTTAAGAATGACATTTAAGTTTTTTCTTTTTTACATTTCTAATTGTTTTTATTAGTGTCTAAGGACACAATTTATTTTAGTAAATGGATGCTATAACTGGAAACTTTGCTTTATCCTTTTTTTGGTTTTAAGAATTTGTGGGTTGCCTTGGATTTTCAATGCAGCCAAGCATACTGTCAGCAAATATAGGTGACTTTTTTCTTTCTTATTTTTTATTCAAGCATAATGTTCAAAAATACATAGCAACATACCTAACAGAGATCAACAAGTCAGGATGAAGCACTGGCTTAAAATGGTTCACACGTGCAGTGAATTTCTGTACTTTCATGTTGCGTTGGCATCTGTTTCAAATATAGGTTTAACATGCTCATACCAGAAGCTGGCCTTTGTCACTACTGACCCAGTTCCTCAATGTGATTGACCCAGATTATCTGCCTCATACAACTACCACCTGGTAACCAACTCCCTATGGGGAAGCCAGATACAACCTATGTGACTTGCCCCAGTGAACCCCCTGCCTTGCATGACTGCACAGATATGCCTCAGTGACCATCTTTCAGTCACAGCGTGACTCCAAGGAACTTGTAGTTACTTGCGGTAAACCCACCAATGAGTACTCCCTGTGGCTGTTTGGGTAATACCCTGAGCCCCAGTGAAGGCTTTGGCTCACAGATCTTTCTCTTTGTCTTGCTCCCTACCTGCTGTTAAACATGTGGAAAGCTCCCTGCTTCCCTACTGGCCCTGTGAGGCACGTGGCTGTCTTCTCTCTGGGATCTGTAAGTAATACACTGCTTCTCTTGCTTCATTATGCTGCCTTCTCTGTATTTCACCTGACCGACACACCCAAACCTAACTCTCTTCCTGGCTGGGCTCTCCTAGTAGGAATAAGCTAGACACAGGTCAGACAAGAGCCACAAGAGCACCTGCCAATAAAAACAAGTTTCCTGAGAGAGGGACACCTGGTCAGAGGTTGAACACTTAGGCATTAAGCCATCTACTAGCTTAAAGAAGAGTCCTGCGAAAGGTATACTATGAACATTCTCCACTGCCTTCCCTGGAGTCCTGTCAGGGCAGTGCTAGAATTTATAGCCAGTCTCTGGAGAGAGGAAAATACAGCAATAATGTTGCATACGAGCAATTCTTTTTTGTGTTATATTGAGTTGGCCAGGACTTCTAGGACAGTGCACCAATGTGTCACTATTAAATATAATATTTGTTGCAGGTTTTTAGTGACCACATTTTACCAAGCTCTATCTTCACATTAAATTGTCAAAATTGTTAAAAATTGGTAATGAGTGGTGTATTTTAATTTATGCCTTTTCTGTCTTTTTAATCATATAGTTTTTCTTTTTAAAAATGATTTATATTAACTTATTTTCAGATGTTTTATCATTATTTCATCCTTGTGATAAATACTATTTAATCATGTTACAAAATTTTAATTATCATAACTCAATGAATTAGATATGTCATCCTGACTTATTTTTCAAATGAGGAAGCTAAAGTTTACAAAGGTTAATAACCTGGCTGAACTCAAAGAGTTACTACATGGTTGATCTGGAATTTGAATTCAGGCCTATAACTACAAAGCCAGTGCTCTTACCAGTTAAATTATAAAGCCTGCTGACTGTAAGGAGTTCGATATGCAATATTTCACTTAATAGCCACACAATTCTCTGGGATGCATCGATAGCTTCCATTTTACTGATAAGAAAAGTGAAGCCCAGAAAGATTAATTAACTTGTCCAGGGTCACACAATAATGAAAGATCAGGTTCTAGGTCCTTGTTTTTAACATTGCTCTAAACTGTTTCCCCAAATGCTTTCCCAATGATGGTCCAAATCTGACCCATATCACAACTTTCAACATTCTCATTTCTTCATAGTTCCTGGGAATGGAAGAGAAAACAAGCTAGACGATTTAATTAATTCTAAGGTAGAGTTTCTTCAACTATCCATTTAAGAATCTGTAATGTCAGAGAAAAATGAACTTTCAGGAATGCAGGAATTGAGGGGGTATACACCTAGCAATAGAAACATCTTCAAGGTTTCACGAGTATTTTAAAACTACAGAATTTTTGCATGTTTTGCATGTAACTATGTTTATCTTAACTAGAAAATCAGTTTTATATTATATAGTAGTATTAAGGAGAAAAGAGTTTTCTACCTGCTTTAGTCAACACACAAGGTATTTGTCATGGAGTCTACTCATGTGAAAGAACTGAGCTGAACTGAAGACAGCTAGCATCAAGGTTCATATACAGGAAATTTCTCTGTCGTTTTTTAGTGTCACTATTTCCGAGAATCCAGACTTATATAAATGTGGTAAAAAACGGTAAGTATTTACTCATTGCACAAGGCAATCAATCACTGAGGTGAGTTCAGAGCTGAATACTGGCAGAGAGGTAGTATGATGGAATACTGTCATGCTGCTATCGGCAGAAACTTCAATAGAACATCTCCTTACTGAGAAACAAAATTGCTCAATGCCACATGTTGAGCTGAAAGGATCTTTTTACCGTACTATTTATTTACTCTAAATTAAGATTAAGTAATTCATGGGCCCACTTCTGGCTCTCAAACAACATTTTCATGAAATTTCTTGCCTACTGTTAAAATTGATATGCCTGGTTAAAAATTTCTTTAAAATTATTTCACTACAAAGTATTCTATAAACTATTTTTCTTCAAGAGACTATTAAAATGGTCTTTTGCATAGGTATGGACAAAAATTTAGGAGTGTAAAACATTTTTATTTAGTGTTTTTTTTTCCCCTCTGAAATGGCCAAATAAAACTGATACTTGAGGGAAGTGTGGTATTTCATCAAATAGCTTTGAGTAACTTACCTCACCACTGTTTTAGAGGAAGGTGTTTAACCACAGTGTAGTGGTAAGTAGTAAACTTGGTTTTGATTTGTTATGCCTAGAGTCTTTAAGCATGCCATAATCTACTTCTAAAAAGAAATAAATAACAACCAAAAACTGTGTGTGGCTAAAATTTAGTTAAAAAGTAAACTCTGGTCCAGTGCTAGTCAGTGAGGATACTCTTCTGAATGAGGATCTGCACTAGGCTCAGTCAGCCAAGATAGATCTCATTCTCATTTCAAATAAATCTTCTATGTGTGGTGCTTTTCAAGTAGAAGATGGCATGCACTGTCTTCCAACTCTTGCAACATGTCTTGATATGAAATGAGTTGATCCTCAGTTACACAAATGGTAAACTTAATTGGAACAACCATTTCCTAAAATTCTAATGTTACAGACTTTAATATTCTTCCATCCCAGTATATATTTTATTTTGAAAATATAGTTTAAAATGATACTAGAAGGATGTTCACATTCAAAAATGGAAAAGTAGGCAATCAAGAAAAGTCTCCTGCTGAAAACAACTAAAAAAGATGAATAAAGTATTTTTCTAATATTCTTTTTAAAAAATATATCAATATTTTTTATTTTGATATTGTGGGGGTACAGTTGAGGGTTAGGTATACAAATATGCTTCGTTCAGGCACCCTTGTTAATAAGGGGTGTCTCCCTGTCCCCAGACAGATATTGACTACCGTTAATCCCACCTCCCTTCCACTCCCCCCCATAGTTTCCCACCACTGTCAGTCATTTTTTTTTTTCTAATATTCTTAAAATAACTAAAGCTATTAGATAGACAAGAATAGCAAGTCAAAAAACCCAGGAGAAGGTGAAATCCCAGAGACAAACACACAGCCCTTAAAGCTGCTTTTGCTGATCCATGAGAAACATTTACAAAAATAATTTACAGTAGACTATTCCTATCAAGACTAAAAAGTTTCATCTGTGTGGTAAGTATAAAATAGAATTAAATCATCCAGTCTACACACTTCCAGCTTGTATTCAGGACACCCAAGTGGTCTAGGGCAGAAGTCTTCAAACCCACCCTCCACCTCCCCACCCCACCCCCGCCACAGAACAGGTCTGTGGCTTGTTAGGAACCGGGCCACACAGCAGGAGGTGATTGGCAGGTGAGAAAGTGAAGCTTTATCTATATTTACAGCTGCTCCTCAATACTTGCATCACCGTCTGAGCTCCGCCTCCTGTCAGATCAGTGGCAGCATTAGGTTCTCACAGGAGTGCAAACCCTGTTGTAAACTGCGCATGCGAGGGATTTAGGTTGCATGCTCCTTATGAGAATCTAATGCCTGATGATCTGAGGTGGAGCTGAGGCAGTGATGCTAGAGTTCGAGAGTGGCTGCAAATACAGAATAACATTAG